TAAGGCTAAAGTCACCTGAACGAAATTTGCTGAACCATCGTTGACACTTACGAACGTTCAAAACATTTTCATAAACTTTTTTGATATTCTTTGTGGTTACAGAAGCATCATTTCCCTTCTTGTATTCAAACAGCATTACATGCCGATTGTGTGACTCATTGTGTACCATCACTATAAGGGATTAGAGCATACTTAACTTTACACATTGTGTAGGCTACACTAACGTGACGTTTAGGTGGTTCATTTAACTATTGTATGTGATGTATGTTTTTTGGAGGGTGGTTAATGAAAATGTGACATTAATTTCTTGACGACCTAATAATAACTTAAACAGTTATTAGTTTCAATCTATCATTTTGTATAGAATATATCTATATTCTAGTAAACTTGGGTTATTTTTGCAAAACCTCTATGCAGATATTGCATGTAGTTAATCATATCCATGTTTGCTAGATGTCATAAATTTACTAATCCTCTTATACAGATAAAGGTTATATACTACAACTTAAATTTTAGCTAGCATGTACATGTTTCTGTGTGGATCTTCTAGAAGGGGTATCCTATGCAAATAAGTGACGAAAAAGCCTGTACAAATTGGCTTTGAATGATTTATGATTATATGTAAACTGTTAGTTGTAGCATGTAACATAATGAATTATTGAATACTGCACTAAGACTTAAGCCTGATTATAAAAGTGAGGCATTTCCATGATTTTGTTTCTTGTTTTGGGGCTCATGTTCTTTTTTTTTTTTGCTTAATGAATAACATTGTATTCTTTTCACTATACTGATTTTTACATATTTTATGAAATGATTTATTTCAATTCAGATAATAGCCAGAATTTTGGATGGAAGCAAATTTGATGAATTTAAAGCCTTGTATGGAGAGACTCTTGTAACAGGTTTGAAATTTCAATACCTTAAATTTTGGGAAAGATTGGTAGTAATGGATAAAATTCATTTTCTCATTACATTTACTTTAGTAAATTCTTTCTAACCCTGCATGTTAGCAATACCTTTTGACTATATATTGACATTGTTTAATATAAACCAATGACCACCAGCTACTAACTTTCTGAGTAGCCAATGCAAGTCTTGCTATATTTCATTCCAACAACAAAGCTAGTGGATGAAACTGTTTGAAACTTCATAAGAACTTTCAAAAATGCATGTAGTTTAAGAAACATAAAGCCTGTTACTTTTGATAAATTTAGTTATTTTGCATTATGATCTTTAATATCTTGAAAAATTACATTAGGAAATGGTATTTATAAGAAATGATTACGATATTTATATTTGTTCCAGATTTGAACTAATTACTTTTTACGTTTTAGTACATTACTTTGAAATCCAAAAAAAATTGTATCGTCCATAAAATGCTAATTTTATCTATTTTCAATTTTTTTAATAATCACGTACTCTCCTTATGGTTTCAAGTAATATACAAGACACAAAAATAATATTTGTAAGTAAACCTAAACAATAAATGAGTATTTTTATTTTTAACTAGGATTTCATGTTTATATATGTACATAAAAAACATTTTAATTTTGTTTCATAAATGTATTTTTCTTTCAAGTTATGTTTATGTTCCATTGCAGCCATACTTTTGTTTATTGTGCTGAATAAATCGTGATGTTAGCAGCGTGAACTTTGTACATTTGCCGTAAATTATCATGCCTGTTGGTGGTCACTCTCGTTCAGTCCAGCACAGGTGCATTTCAACATTACTGTAGATTATTGTGTTAAAATCATGTGGTAGTAAGAAAGCTTTTTGGTACTTGAATATCATTTCTTGGAACTTTCAAACAAGTTTATTTCGACATATGTCCTTGTATGTTGTTTCACTATACAGACAAAATTAATTGTCACTAATAGCAAAAGTATGTAATAGTTTATGGTACAGGTAGTTTGAATAACACCGCTTGACCCTAGTTACTTGATACATCCTGTTAGAAAAGATTACCAAACGATACAGACACTATAAATTACAAAGAAAATTACTTTACAGCACTTAAAAGATTAGTCCTGGTCACATTCCTCTCATTATAGGCAAGATTTATGTTGGAATTCGAAACCTAAGCTCTTCAGTGTATTCAGACCCCAACTGTGAGAATGTCATAGCTATCCTGTATTATTGAGACATATATTTAGTCTATTTCGCAACCAACATATGGGTTTTATTGTTGTCACTTATACACTGAGTTTTACACCATTTGCAAAATATCACAATAAACTTTATATCAGTTAGACTGTTTTAATAATTCTAAAGCAATAATGACAGAAGTGTGGGTCTTACCAGAAAGTAAAGATTGTAAGAAGGAAAAATATAAAATTCTTATGTGGTACTGGTACTAGTAGTATTATGTACAAATCACACAAGTTTATCATTCTAAATACTGAATCATATTATTATTATTATGAACTAAATATAAAATTACACTAAATTATTGAACTTAAAACTACAAATTTAAATGCAAAATAATATAAAAAATCACAAACTCTTTCAGTTCAAAGTGCTAAGCCTAATTCATGTAAAGATCTTGCACTCCCCGCTCGATAGCTATTAACCCTAACAATCGTGGATCAACTTCTTTCCTAAAAAATGTGTCTATTTTGAGTTAATTTTTCAATTTAATGTTTATTATAAATAGATATACGATGCAGCATGACTTAAGCTACTATAGAAAAATAATAAAAAGTCACATACATCCCATGCTAGTTTTTTCCAAGAAGCAAAGTTTTCTAAAGGCTTA